TCAGCAGGATTACCCACGTTCTTGAAGTGAAGCACACGCTTAAGTACTTTGCTGAATAAGCAACTTTCAGTTATAGGTCCCTTATTTATTTTTTTGTGTTGAGTTTCCCTTTTTTTTTTATCAATGGTTTACAAGTTACCTGATCTTTTTTGGAGGGAAGTCCGAGCTTCTCATCTGGTAACTTTTCCTTTTTAGCTTCCACTTTAACCTCTTTTTCTTCCCCCTTTGTTTTTGGGTTTTTAATATTTTTTTTAATATGAAAACATCACATCTGTTTGCATTTTTTTTTCTCCACACTGTGTTCATGTACCAGTCCTGTGTGCAGCCACATCTCCATCATATGCTGCTGTGCCCACATCTCCGTGTGCAGTGGTGCTCCCTCCACCCTCTCCAAATGCTCCCCGTACCCCCATCTGGGCCTTTCTCCCTTGCGTGGCATCATGCTCACATGTCCCAGCAGAGAGCCCTCTCTTGTGATTGCATTTAACACACGTGTTTCTCACACAATTTACTAGGTGCTCATAATATTTTATGCCAAGATGTGTCTGCCTCCACCTCGTGTTACTGCAATAGGCCAGTTTATAGCAGCTGAGAAAAAAGGCAGCAAAAAAAACACATGCAGAGGTTTGAACATGCAAGGTTTTCTTTGAACACTGGAGTGAGGTCAGGCATGTTGTGCACTGCATTATTAGTAAGCAGAAGTCAAGAGCTTTCTTTTCAAAAAGAGAGAGCAAGAATATTAGTCATTTTAATGCAGGAATAGATCTGTGAGGAAATTCCAATTCAATCTTTTTTTTTCCTTGCATTACATTTCTCACAAACCACAGGTGTCTTATTTTGGTGCAAAATGTTTACTGTACCTGTTTTCTTAGGAAAGCTGCTTGAGGTTTTTCCTCTTGTACTTTCTTCTCTTTTACCTGTTTATCTTCTATTTTCTTTTCTTCCATCTTTTGTTTTTCCTTTAATTTCTCTGCTTCTACCTTAGCCTTTTCTTCAGCTGCCCTCTTCTCCTCTTCTGCCTTAGCCCTCTCTCTTTCCTCAGCTGCCCTCTTCTCCTCCTCTGCTTTCTGTTTTTCCTCAGCTGCCTTCTTTTCTTCCTCTGCTTTTAACCTCTCCCTTTCTTCTGCCTCAAGTTTCTCACTTTCTTCTGCTTTCTTCCTTTCTTCCTCAGCTTTTTCCTCATCCCTAAGATTCTCTTTATCTACAGCATCAGTTATACTCTGCTCCCCTTCCACCACAGCATTTGTATCATTCTCTACTTTGTGTTCCTCTGCATTTATAACTAGATTTTTTGTTTCTACTATCTCTTCTTTATCTGTGGAGTTTTCTGCTGTCATATCTACCTGATTTTCCTCTACAGGGACTTCCTTTGGTTTCTCCTCCTGTACCTCCTCCTTGTTTTTTTCTTCTTTTTTTTCCTCTTCTTCCCCATCTTGCCTCCAGTTGTTCCTTTGGTATGATTTGATAACTGTTTCTGTTTCCTCAATCTCATAGCGTCCTCGGCGTGTTTCAGACTTTTCTTCTTTCCCCATGGTCTCGTTTTCTTCCACATCGTTTACTTCTCTCCTGCTGGGCAGTGACAAGTTCCCATCTGTGATCGTGGGGTCAAATTCCTTTTGACGTTCCAGGGCTTCCTGTAGACGTTTTTGGCGTCTCTCCTCCCGTCTTGCCAGTCTCTCCAACAATGCAGCTTCATCATCTGTTCCCCCTGTGGTTGTAGTACGTTTGGTTTCCTCTTCTGCCACGCTACATAAAAGTGATAATTGTGCATTAAAAAAAAAAAAAAAACTTTCTAAGAATGTATGTGCTTAGCTGTTTCTAGGAAAAAAACCTTGCTGTAACATCATTCCATGGTTTGAAAACACAACAGGCTGCATACTTCAAAATTTAGAAAACTGGTTCTGGGGATTAATTTTGGCATTTCTACATGTATAGGAATGTGGTGTTTCACAACGTCAGAGCCCAGAAAGGTTCCCTTCTAGGCAAGCTCCAACAGCCACTGAAGTCCCTGGGGGTCTTACTGACCTCAGTAGGCACTGGAACAAGTCCCTGACACTTGGGGCAGCTGAAATATGAAAAAACTTGAAAAATTCATCCTTTCCTTCTGCACCCTGCAGCTGAATACTTGAAAGACCTTAGTGTGCTTTAAGGCCCTCTTCACCTTGGCCTGAGGCTTACATGTCCTATGCACAGTCTTCTCACCAGGCAAAATTTTTGAAGATGCTACACAAGTGAGACTTCAGGGAACCTCTCTAGCAACATGAAGCTACTCCTTTTCAGCAACAACATCCACGGATACAGTCCATAATGGGATAGGCTGGCAATTCAGGGTGCAGTGAAGTTGTGATTGTCTGCAGAGGGGCAATAATCTGTTAGAAAATGGAGCAAGCAGAGCACTTAAATTAAGACATGCTATTCAACACCTGTTGGTATAAGGACTGGATCTCGCTCTCAGTCCCTGGAGGTTTTTTGACTACTTCAAAATTCAGCTGTTTAATTCTCCTATGTGCAGGTTTCTTCCCTCTTTCTACCTTTCTTTTTTTCCTCTATTGTGGAAGAAGATTATAATCTACAATCAGAAATGTTGCTGGTTTACTACCTATATCCATTCTCCTTGTGCTACTTGTGCTCGGTATCTATTTAGCTTGATATCACAATGTTTATTTCTGGTCTCTACTATCAATTGTGTTATGGCTACTGGAAATCTGATTATATTATTTGCGACTGAATAAATGATGGACAGACTGGAAGGACAGCTCTGCCCACTATAGCTTGTGACAAGTAGCGCTTCACTCCATAAGCTTTGCTGCTGTTCATAGCTGTATTACCCTGACAATGCGAGACAAGGGTTGAGGTCTAGCATTCACACCCAGCAGCTTGCAGGCATGTTTCATCTGCAACTTGAGGCCTAGGTGCCCGCCAATGCCATGTGCCTTGGCCCCATGACACCATGGCCCCTGTAAGCAGGACAAAAGATGTAGAGGTTTGTGAGGCCAGACAGAGTCATGCCTGAGGGAATCTGACAGCAAGATGCATCAGAGGTATTTGCTTCCATGAGCCCCAGCTGAGTTACCCCACAGACAGCCCTAAGGACACCCTGGGAACGGGTCATGAACATGGCCTCAAGTCCAGCTTCAGCGATGCTCCCATCTCACAGTGTAGACACAGGCAGTAGCACTCCTCACAGTGTTAGGTCCTCTTCAGAGCAAGGAATGGCCGAACCTAGTGCTTAAAATCTAAGTAGCAAAATATACCTCTTCAAGATACTTCTCTACTCTGAACAAAATTTGCTGTTGACTTGTCAGTAAACAACATCAGAAGTTTACCTGTTTTGGGCATTAACTTCTGATTTCTCCGTTACTTCTCCTGATAGATCTCCTTCTTCCTTTTGCCGCAGCCTTTCCTGTCGAGCCCGTCGGCGACGTTCTCTGGCAGCTTCTTCCTCATCATCATCGTTTCTCTGGTAGGACAGCCTGCAACAGAGCATTAGAGATAGGGAAACAACAGGGCTATTGCATATAGGACACTGTGACCGAAAAATTACAAAAAGCAGTTGACCAGAGCACAACGAGCATGGCTGCAGTGGCTGGTGATTATAAAACAGGCTGTCAAGTTGAGATGTGTAGTTTCAAAGCTTGGTTTTGTTTTCTTTCTCAGAAATGAACTTGACAAAATATTCATAGTGAAAGCAGCAGCCACACCTCACAATCAGTTGGCTCCTAGAAAATACCAAGACTGTAAAATCCCAACTCTGTAGCTGAGCAAACGTCCTGCTAGACTGCACCATGATCCTGGCGGAGTGCACACAACAGTGTTTGAACAGACTATCACTCAAGCCCACGTAACTGGAATTTGACTTAGGCAAGCAACTTTTCATTAGCCTCCTCTAAATACCACACACTTAAAATGGTGACAGTATTCCAAAACTGAAAGATTAGAAAAGGGGGAGACACAAATATGACAACAGCTCTCAGTGCTAGTTTCTGAGTGCCAAACATCTGACACCTACAAAATTTTTGTGAGCCCGGAGCCCTGCCAGGCCAAATCATGCAAGATCGCTGCTGTGATGAAAGCCTACAGCTGAGAAGCCATTGTGTTCATCTGACCCAACAGATGGTTACATTCAGTTTCATCCTACTTGAAAAGGAAAGCAAGAAATTACAATCCTAATAATCCCTCAGCCCATTCAAATCTTTGCTGAGATGCATTATTACTGAGTGAGATAAAAGGAAAGGCCTGCATTCCTCTTATCTGTTTGTGCAGGGAAAGTGAAATAGGAAGCTAACATGTGCCAGAGCCAGTCAGGGCATTCATTTGCTTTACTTACAACAATGGTCTGATGTGTAATAGTTAAAAAGTTATCCTTCCTTATGTAGTGACATTTAAGTTAGTTGTACAGCAGCGTACCTAGAGATAAAAGAGCTCTGCACCAAGTAAAACCAAGCACAGTTAAGCTTGCGTTTCAAGGAATATTTTAACATTAAAAGCAACTAAACCATTTTTATTTAGTTATTAACTGAATTCTTTGGGTCTCAGCCTCTCCCAATGCCTTGTTCTGGTACTGCTTTCCTCCTTTGCTGAAAGAGGAGTGGAAGTATAGGTT